GGAGTGTTCAGTTTCAACAACTGATCTAATTTATTCATCCAGTAATAGGGATTTATCCAGTTTCCACTGACAGATTTTCAGATTCCTCATTGAGCACTGGGATTAAGATTTTATGGGGTTAACAGTGTAGTATGCAGAAGACTATTGCCATTCAATAAAACTGGGCAAGTAGAGGTACAAGAAATGCAAAATTCCCCAGCAGTAAGAGTTATAGAAGCAGGTCCTTTAGCGCAGGACTTGAAATTTCTGCTCGCCAAATCCCTTTCTGGCGAGCACAGATGGAGCGGGTGGCTTGCAATGCGATCCCCAGGGATCGATCTGCATTACACTTGCGCTCCAAGCCTCGCTGTAAAGCCGACTTCTGGTTTCTTCTTCGCCGCCTTGGGGGACACGAGGAGAGGCCCGCTCTCCACCGCCTTGGGGGACATGAGGCCCACTCTCTCCACCACCTTGGGGAACATGAGGAGAGGCCCGCTCTACACCATTGTGGGGGACACGTAAAGAAGAGACCCGCGCCAACGGTGCACATCCCTACACCTGCCAGATTAAGGTAAATTTAATTTTTTGTGCTGCACTCTGGGGGAAAAATGATTTCGAAAAAAGTTAAAAAAAACAAAAAATGCACAGCACACCTATGCACAATCAGCCACAAATTTAATATAATATGAAAAAAAAATATTTTCAATTAAATTGGTAGCAGAGTATGCATATGAATACATCCTCATATGGTAATGGTGAAAATTATCAGTGCCCTCCCAGTTTTGACTGTGGTATCTTATCTGCGCCGTTTTTTTTTCCCTAGAGTCGCCATTGGTCCCTCACAATTGTAATGCGTGGACAGACCCACCAAGCAAGCAGCCATGCTCCGCCCGGAAGAGACCAGCTCCTGAAAGGCAGCCCAGGCAGCAGACACACCGAGCCACCAGAGGAGCCTTCAAGCAGACTAGCTTTCAATCAGGCCAGCCTTTAATCTGAAGTGGCGTTATCTGAACTGCCGTTGGGCTGAACAACCGCCTTTAATCTGACCTGCCTTGTTTAATCTGACCTGCCTTGTTTAATCTGAACTGCCGTTGAGCTGAACTGCCTTGTTTAATCTGAACTGCCGTTGAGCTGAATCCACACACAGCCATTGAAGTGATATTTTGCATCAGAAAAAGGGTATTGCACAAGTCGTTCCTGCTGTACAATGAAAACCATAGCAAATCTTGATGTGAAACTGGCTTCCTACTGCTTTTTGTCAACCAAAAAAAAAAATCATTTTTTGTTTTTTTTCTTCATTGAATAGATTGCAAGCCACACACAGCCATTCAAGTGGTATTTTGCAATTGAAAAAGGATATTACACAAGTCTTGGTCCTGCTGTACAACACAAACCATGCCTGCTCTATTAGCACATCTTTGATAAAATGTTTACTATTGTTATGCCATGTTTTTTGGCATCTAAATAAGCACTTTGTTTTTTCTTAATGCACTTCTTCTCCAAGCTCTCTTTTAATAAGATGCTGGAGATAAAAAATGCAAAATGTTTACTATTGTTATTTATTTTATGCAATGTTTTTTGGCCATCAAAAGAGGCACTTTTTTTCTTTATGCCACACTTCTCTAAGGTCTCTGCTGGAGATAAAAAATACATGTTTGCTATTCCATGTTTTTTGGCATCAAAATAAGCACTTTTTCTTATGCTATACTTCTAAACTAAACTTACATCTTTTAAGAGACTTTAGTTACTAAAGTCTTTTTAACCACTAGCCTACAGGGCACTTATACCCCCTTCCTGCCCAGGCCAATTTCCAGCTTTCAGCGCTGTCACACTTTGAATGACAATTGCGCAGTCATGCAACACTGTACCCATATGAAATGTTTATCATTTTTTTGAGACAGAGCTTTCTTTTGGTGGTATTTAATCACCTCTGGGATTTTTATTTTTTCTTAAACCAAAAGCCACTGAAAATTTTGAAAAAAAAAACATTTCTTAGTTACAATTTTGTAAATAAGTGATTTTTCTCCTTCACTGATGTGCGCTAATGAGGCTGCAGTGATGGGCACTGATGGACACTGGTAGGTGGCTGGTAGGTTGCACTGATGGGCACTGATAGGCGGCACTGATGGGTGACATTGAAAGGCAGCTCAGATGGGCACTGATATGTGGCATTGATGTGCACTGGTAGGCACTGATATGTGGCACTGACACTGATGAGCACTGACAGGTGGCACTTCTGGGGCCACACTGATCATCAGGGCACACTTATCAGTGCCCTGATGATCAGTGTACATGTCCCCTCCGTGGAAAGCCAATTACCGGCTCTCCTCTCCTCTCGAGCTGTCAGCGTAACAGCTGGAGATGAGAGAAATGCCGATAACCGGCATTTCCGTGTTTACATGTGATCAGCTGTGATTGGACACAGCTGATCACATGACCGAGCCAACATCTTTGGCTCTTTCCGTGATCCGCTGTTTCCGAGGAACACAGCGGACCGGCGATCGCCGTGCTGCGCGCTCCCTGAGCCGCGCATGCGCAGTGAGAATGGTAGGACATCATATGACGTCCTATCAGAACAAGAGAACCACCTTGCGCCCGTCATTGTACTATAGGGCGGGCGGTGGTTAAAGATGCAGGAGATAAACAAAAAAAAAATACAAAAATGTACTACAGGTTTAAAGCTTTAAACTCAAAATTTAAGCCTGCTTTAGCGTACTAAGACCCTCCAGTGACATCGCTGTCCTTTCATCTCTTTTCCTTTCCATAAAAATTGATTGATAGCATAGTGCCTAACCCAGGGGTGGGCAAACTTTTTGACTTGAGGGCCGCAATGGGTTCATATATTGGACCCGGGGGCCGGACCAAGAGTTGATGAATGATGTGTCATCCATAGTAAGTATAGTAATATTCCCCCATAGTAAGCATAGTAATTAATCCCCCATATAGTAATTCATCCCCCATACTAAGTCCCCCGTGTCAATTCACTTACCTTTGCTCCGCGCGTTCCTCTCGCCGTGTTCCCGCGCCGTTCCGGTGTAGCATGAAAATCTGTCTCCTATGAGGATCTGTCCCCCTCGACGTATCTGCGCATGTGCCAGTTTCAGGCATTAGCAGCCAATCGGCGATCTCCGGCACATGCGCAGATACGTCGAGGGGGACAGATCCTCATAGGAGACAGATTTTCATGCTACACCGGTCTTCAGGGCGGACTGTGAGAGGAGCCTAGCTCCGCGGGCTGGATTAAAAGGTCCGCCGGGCCGTAGTTTGCCCATTGCTGGCCTAACCCCAGTCATGACTAATGTGTGTTTTGCGAAGCAATCTCTACCCAGAATACAGCTTTGAAATTAGAAGAGTATTTTAGGTTACGTGTCACAATTTGTTGTATAGGTAAAGTTTTTTTTATTGCATGTACTATTGAACCATGTTTTTATTCTGCTGCATCTATTTACATTGTAATTCCAGTTTAATCTGAAATGAAGTTTCAGTTCATATCACAAAAACATCTTCCAGATCTGTTTCGGATGTGTTTCTGAATGCGCTTTAACATGTTTTTGATGTGTTTCCGGATACATTCCAGATGCTTTTTTTTTCCCCATACTATTTTGGGGGTCATTTCAATTGCAAGATGCTTCTGGGGTCACTTTCCTGTCGGATCACTTCCTGTTTATCGCTTGGAAGTGTCCTTTGCGTACTGTGTGCGGCTGTGTAAAGAAGATGTCTGCACTGGCAGGCTTATTCCTGGTTATGGACATTGCACTGCTGAGACTGCACACAAGAGAAGGCGTTATTGGTTACAGCCTTCAATGCTCCATCTTGTCCAGATGTGCATGTGAGCAGAAGAGGATCATAGAAGTTAAAATACATTTTTTTTTTTATACCTTTTCCTTTCACTGTACTGGGGGGTCTGGTATGCATTCTTGATGCATTCCAGTACAGTTCTATGCAGGAAAAAAGCAGCATGTTGTATTTTTTTTTTTTTTTTGCAACTGGTGTGAACTTTGCCCATTGGAACCCATGTAACATATTTTCCATGCCTTTTTCACGCAGAAAAAAAAGCACTGCACTGCATGTGGTGTGAACTGGCCCTTAATCTTTGTGCATCCACCAAATACCCGTTTTTCAGAAACAGTTCCCATTTTTATCTTTAATAGTAAAAGTGCAGTTAAAAAATTTAAACAATAGATTAATAATGAGAAAATCACCAAAATGTATCATCCAAAATGATTTTTTTATTCAAACCAGGAGGTATTCACCAGTTAGTGCAAAATGCACTGCACACCTTCAGCCTGAGGAATTTACATCTAGGAGATGGCTCCAATACCCCAGAGAACTTGCAATTAGAATGCAATAAGTAAGGGGCACAAATCAAGTCTCTGCATTGGTGACTTTTGAGCAGGTGACTGTTCCCTGCACTCTGCCTCATGTCAAGTAACAAAATCAAGAACTACACTCAGTAGGAAATCACTGGGTAACTCAGAGATGCTGACTTATTGCACTCAACAACCCACAACCCCCAAAATAAAATAAAATTAATGAAAAATATATTCAGAAGCAAGGAGTTAAAACTTTTCTGAACTCCAGTGTTGCCGGAAACCCTGCAATTAAATTAAAAAATAAACCTGCATACATAGTAGAAAATCTTTTTTTTTAAAAAATTCACAATTTTTAAATGTATATATTTTATCTTTAAACATAAAAGTTTACAATTAATGGTAAAACAAAGGCTCAGAGAAAAAAAATTCCCCCAAAATAAGGAAAACAATATGAACCAATAAACCTGAAGAGTTCCATTAAAGCTGCAGATGTTTTCAAGACCCTGTTTGGAACCAGTGACTCATTGGCTTTGTTTGTGCTGATGGGTCAAAAAAAGATGTAAAAACTCTTGTCCAAACACCCACAGCTTATCCTTCAATCATAGAACCTCCACAAGTCTCTAAGCAGGATGTGTCTTGACCAGGTGATTGTCACAAGTTCAGAGGTGGATGCGTCCTTGTTTCCACTGTGCACCCCATTCCCTGATGTTAACGTCTATAAGGATGGAATCCTTGCACATTGTGATTCTGTCCTCTTCCCAAGCCACTGCCACCCGCAGGCGGGCCTGCCGATGCTGGTGCAGTTGTTCCTGTCGTGTATGAGGGGGGTTGTTGGCTGAGGTCAGAGAAATTCTGTCCAAACCCACTCATATCCTGTCCATATCCTATAGCAAACAAAACAGGCAAGTATAAAGATTTTGCAAACGAAAACCAATACACATTCAGGCATTATTTTTAGCGTTAACACAAGCTACAAACAGGGTAAACTCAGTCCTGTCCCCCTCCCCACCAAATGCAAACCATAACACATGCACACTACTATTTTGTAAAAGCTTCATGTTTTTCTTTGCTTAAGTCACACAAGCAGATGGGTGCACTTTTTGTATACAATTTTCCATTACATTTTTTTGTAATTCAGGTTTGGAACATATCTAAGCCTATTTGTGTATATTGCACATCAGAAAAGTTGGGCATTACTTCCATAAAACTAGCATGTTTTCTCAACCATACTGAATTTTTAAGGGTGCGACAGAAACTACATTCTTCTCCCAAGGCAGAGTACAGAGTGAAAAATGACAATTATTGTGTCCTAATGAATGTTTTACATAAAACATCTACTGAACTACAGGAACTTAGACATCTATCACTGAAATATCAGGAACTGGGGGTGGTGGGATGCAGTGAATATTTTTAAACTTTCATTTAAGTGGAACAAAAGGCAACATTTACAAACTTACAAGCAGGCAGGCTATTTATTGTAGAAGAGACATTGCATAATATAACCTGCCTGCTTAAAAGTTGTTTTGTAGCATATGCAGCTCATTTAACGTCATCAGCATGGTCCCTATGTGCCGGGATAACAAACTTCTGCACATATGCAGGAGCTACATCTTCCCACACCAGCCAATCAAAGAGGGTCAAAAACTGGCATCTGGAAGATGCCAGCAAGGGAACCCCCTCTTGGGATTCTTACCATTGGAGAAGTGAATATGGTGCTGTTAGTTCTGCTTTAACAGACCAAGATTTCCAGCAAAAGTGGTAGTTAGAGGCTTGAGACAAATCATTTAAAGCAAAAAACTACAGTAAAAAAGGTTGCAAGCAGGCAGGCTATATACTACAGAAAAGACAGGAAAAGTATTTTCTACAATAAATTTACCTGCCTCTTACTGAGCTGCACAGCTTACATTTCAGTCACAGCGCAAGTGTACATTAGTCATTTCATCCGGAACTGGCCAATTAAGACGGCTACCATCGTCACAGGTTGACAATGCTGCTGTCTAAGGGCAACTCCTCTGCACCTCAGTACAGCCGCCCATTTGGTGAAACAAGTATACTGCTCCTCTGTCCTGTCTTGAAGCTGTCATGGTCTTATCATATTGCATGTAATGGATTCCAATAAAGGATTTCATCCACCACATTGCTGTTTGTGCGGCCAACCATTCTGTTTTTCCATAAGAGCCGCCCTAAGCCCTAATTCACACCTACTTCAGTGCAACTTCAAAGCCAACCATCAGTGCAATTTCATGTGCAGCTTGCTGACATCTATGCGACTTCATTTAACATGCCAATGCAAGTCGAACTGAAGCCAGACAGAAATAGTATTGGAACAAGTCACATCGATTTGAACGGTTCCATTGCCGCAAATGGGGTGTGACTTTGAACTGTTAAGTTTGCACTGGTGTGAACCAGGGCTAAAACAGGAAGTGTGTTACTGGCCAAATCACTAGGTGAAAACAAAAGGGAAAACAAGCCAAAGAAAAGAAAATATTGCAATCATCACATTTAAGGATTTGTAAGCTGCAATAAATTACATTTTTGGTTTGGGGTTTAGATATGCACTGTACAGTAAAACCCTGCCAGAATGTCCCACAGTGCCAACCATATCTTGGTTATTAGGCACTGAGTTACAAAATTTTGTCAAACGCCATTCTTTGCCAGTCTGGCCTTAGGCCAACTACAAGTTGCAACATTTTATCTGTGCAGTATTGAGTACCTCTGGACACCATAAGTACTTGTGATTATTATTATACAGGATTTATATAGCGCCAACAGTTTGCGCAGCGCTTTACAATAGACCCCTAAGAGGTCAGAATTTGACAAATCAAGTTAATCTCACTACTGAACACTGCTTGCTATTAAGGGTTCACGTTGCCATCTTCCACCCTCCTATTTACAAGCTGTTGATTACTATGCATCTTATTTCTATGGTTTACTTATTTTCTGCACTTTGCTGTATATTGTAAACACAATGCCTGCATATAAAACCTAAAATTTATGAGACTGGTGGTTTATTCCTTATGTTGGTATATTTTGTAACACTAATCAATTAGGATTACATGAAAATCCTAACACATTAAAGCTGAAAAATGATAAACTGCTACAAGTAACAATCCTACCTTCATGTCATAAACAAGCCTTATAAACCAGAGGCTTTCCAGGCACTAAAAATAATGCATATAGAAACATATTTAATTACTGTTCTAAAAAGAATATCTAAACCTTAGCTGGATAAAGCATTGCAGAAACAATTCCATTATTTTACCCCCTTCATAAAATACTTTTACCACCCACCCACCCTTTTTTTGTGCATCTCAAAGTGGTTGAGTCCTTGCAGGGTTTTTTTTTTTAGCCAAGCTTGCAAAGATAGCACATCAGCATCACTTACACGTGTGAGCTTGTTATTGTTTTAAGACATCTTCCGCCTAATCACTTTTACAGTACTTTGAAGTGTGTGCAGTAAAATTAATTTTCTGTTTGTGTGCACTAACATTTTTTAGTGTGTTTTTTTTAAACTGAAAATAAAGATTTGTCAAACAGTCATGCAAATTTCCCGCAACACAACAGTTGCAACTGCCACCATTTTATTCTACTGGGCCTCTGCCTTCACAAAGTATATAATTTTCTTGCAAAAAATAAAGTGTGTGAAAAATAAAACTAAAATGGTTTATGAAAGCGTCATGTTTAAGGGTCACATACATACACACACACATACATATATGCGCTCCCGCGGTTTTCAGTGCCCTCCAGTACACCAATAATCCCATTTAACCCCTTGATTGCCAAGAACAGGGTTATATACACAATAAACCTCCACTGATAGTACAGTGTCTGAAATGATCAATACCTTTGATCAGATCAGCACTATACCAGTGTTCACATTAGTATAGGGTCCCCAATAATGCAGCGTTAGCGGGATCAGTCCTGGCACCTGCGTTTAGCTCCTAGGTTTAACTACCCCCCCCCCCCCTTCTTCCCCAGTAAGTGCAGTGTCAGTAGGTCACTGTCACTTGATACATTGCACACAAAACCGCAGTGTTCGAAGACTCAGGCTTGATCTCTGTTAGCACTTGCCGGTAAATTTTGATGACTCTCATATGCAGCAGAGTGCCAGTACTAGTGCCGCTCTATCTTTTGGTGAACTGGCAAGTACCAGCGGCCTAGTACATCCTGGTCTTTCACATACCAGCACTGCAGTATCACTTGGTGATGTGGTGAGTCCCATAAGTGCAGTACAAGCTGGTGCAGTGGCTAGCACAAGTATTGTCCCGCAGCCACCAAGAATTCGCACACAGGCCCATAGAGCCCCTAGTATCCGTCCGGATGTGCTTGCAAATCCCGATTGGCAGCCCACAAATTTTGCAGCACCCGTACTTCCTCCATTCACTGCCCAACCTGGAATTCAGGTGGAAACAGCAAATTTAACTACTCCCCTTGATTTTTTGGAGCTGTTTTTCACGGAAGATCTGTATGCATTGATTGTAGATCAAAGCGATTTATATGCACAACAGTTTATCACCGCCAACCCAAATACAAACCTTGCCAGACCATTCGCATGAAAACTCATTACAGTTTCGGAATTTAAAGTTTTTTTGGGCCTAACCCTCACCACGGGCATTACTAAAAAAAAAAAAAAAATGAATTACAGTTGTATTAGTCCACAGACGCGATTCATCATATGCCCGTGTTCTCTGCTGCCATGGCCAGGCAAAGATATAAGAGTATAATGCGTTTTATGCATTTCAAGGACAATACACTGTTGTCCTCGGGGTGACCCTGAATTTGACCAGCTCCACAAAATTCGGCCCCTCGTATATCACCTTAACCAAAAATTTGTAGAAGTCTATACTCCCCAGCAAAACATCTACGTTGACGAGTCCCTCAATTTTTCTGACCACCTTGCATTCAAACAACTTCTCCCCAGCAAGCGTGCCAGATATGGGGTCAAGATGTACAAGACCTGTGATTATGAAAGCATGTTAGGTTTTTATGAAATTTCAGTACACTGGGTTTAGATCTACTTCAAGTAGACATGAAAAAAAAAAAAAAAGAATCCTAATATTTACATGGGATGTTGTTCAGAAAGCCATAGCCAAGTATAAACATATGCCCTGTCACCGCTGAACTCTCCTTGACAGAGTATAGAACACTGCGTCCAAATTACCTATCAAACAAGCTACTAGATGTCCTATGTCACTTCCAGCATTACGAAGAAAAGGAACTTGTTTTTCAAAAGATCAGAGGAATAACTTACACTAATTTCGACTAAGTCCTGATCACCATCTATCTATACATGGCAGAGGAAACGTATGCAAGCCAGTGGGAATTAAAACCTCTACTAAACCTACTTAATCGAGCAGACATGTATCACTGTGGATACCCCTTCTTCCTCCGCATGCAAACACAGCAGATCTGCCATAATGGACTGCAGAAACTCCACACTTCTGTCCGGGACTGGACATCATGTCCCATTGCTTCAAGGCTAGTCTCATTATATGAGTTTGTCCAGTCCCTAATTATCAATATAGAGTTTGAACTCTACCCTCCACTCCCCTCCTGCCACTTCCCTTGTCTGGTGTTGAACTTAAATTACAGTAATCTGTTTGTTTTTTTTATAAAAGCCCTGACCACCTAGTGGTGCTTTGAATCTTTGAACTAATCTCCACACCAGAGTCAGTAAAATTACCACATCAGTACACCCTGGTCTGTTCTAATTTGCCATATGTTCTTGGTATTCTAAAGTTTTAAACGATTAACTATCTGCTAAACATTGGGCTGGGCTGCAGCTTGCCAATCTGATTACAGCTCTCCCTCAGCCATTCTGACTCCTTACAAAACAATTAGATAGAGACACTAAAAGAGCATTATATAAATTAGACCAAACTACTAT